CCCAGGTGCCACGCCCATCCCAAAATTGCTGAAATCCAGCTAAAATCCAGACTGAGAATCTTTACCCCCGTATGCGATTTATGTTCCGGGGTAGGTGGCCCATGTTTCAGTATCAAAATGGGTACTGCCTATCCCAAACCATCATAAAAACCAAGTTTCGACCTCTCAACCCACTCAGGCCGCTCCCAGGGGCCACGCCCATCCCAAAATAGCTGAAATCAAGCTAAAATTGAGACTGAGAATCTTTACCCCCGTATGCGATTTATGTTCCGGGGTAGGTGGCCCATGTTTCAGTATAAAAATGGGTACTGCCTATCCCAAACCATCATAAAAACCAAGTTTCGACCTCTCAAACCACTCAGGCCGCTCCCAGGGGCCACGCCCATCCCAAAATTGCTGAAATCCAGCTAAAATCCAGACTGAGAATCTTTACCCCCGTATGCGATTTATGTTCCGGGGTAGGTGGCCCATGTTTTAGTATTAAAATGGGTACTACCTATCCCAAACCATCATAAAAACCAAGTTTCGACCTCTCAAACCACTCAGGCCACTCCCAGGGGCAACGCCCAACCCAAAATAGCTGAAATCCAGGTCAAATCAAGACTGAGAATCTTTACCCCCGTATGCGATTTATGTTCCGGGGTCCGGTAGGTGGCCCATGTTTTAGTGTAAAAATGGGTACCTACTACCTATCCAAAACCATCATAAAAACCAATTTTCGACCTCTCAACTCACTCAGGCCACTCCCAGAGGCTACGCCTATCCCAAAATAGCTGAAATTCAGGTCAAATCAAGAATGAGAATCTTTACACCTGTAGGGGATTTAAGTTCCGGGGTATTCTTTTTGGTATGACTTACTATCACCACTCATTCGAGGAATATGTTAAATCAAAGAATATTCATGTTCATTTTTTTCGAATGAAGGTTCATTATCGCATTTTTTAAATAGTTTTGATAATCAGATCGAGCCAAATTTTATAGGATTGTATTTGGCCATTCAAATTACGTTCGATCTGAAAAAATGAGAGTTGTAGCTTCTCAGATGTCCGAGATACGAGGCATAACGAGTTTATTCATTACGTGTGATCAGGTGATTGGATTACCTGTTCAGGTGATTAGATGGCCCCGTTAAATTGCAAGGGAACCCAATCAAGGTGTCCTATCACATAATCACCCAATCAATTTTGTTTTAACGAGATACATTCAATGCGTCATTTCAACTCCGAGTCTGGATTTGTATGGGATTTGACCTGGATTTCAGCTATTTTGGGATGGGCGTGGCCCCTGGGAGTGGCCTGAGTGGTTTGAGAGGTCGAAACTTGGTTTTTATGATGGTTTGGGATAGGCAGTACCCATTTTTATACTAAAACATGGGCCACCTACCCCGGAACATAAATCGCATACGGGGGTAAAGATTCTCAGTCTGGATTTGTATGGGATTTGACCTGGATTTCAGCTATTTTGGGATGGGCGTGGCCCCTGGGAGTGGCCTGAGTGGTTTGAGAGGTCGAAACTTGGTTTTTATGATGGTTTGGGATAGGCAGTACCCATTTTTATACTAAAACATGGGCCACCTACCCCGGAACATAAATCGCATACGGGGGTAAAGATTTTCAATCTTGATTTTACCTGGATTTCAGCTATTTTGGGATGGGCGTGGCCCCTGGGAGTGGCCTGAGTGGGTTGAGAGGTCGAAACTTGGTTTTTATGATGGTTTGGGATAGGCAGTACCCATTTTTATACTAAAACATGGGCCACCTACCCCGGAACATAAATCGCATACGGGGGTAAAGATTCTCAGTCTGGATTTGTATGGGATTTGACCTGGATTTCAGCTATTTTGGGATGGGCGTGGCCCCTGGGAGTGGCCTGAGTGGTTTGAGAGGTCGAAACTTGGTTTTTATGATGGTTTGGGATAGGCAGTACCCATTTTTATACTAAAACATGGGCCACCTACCCCGGAACATAAATCGCATACGGGGGTAAAGATTCTCAGTCTGGATTTGTATGGGATTTGACCTGGATTTCAGCTATTTTGGGATGGGCGTGGCCCCTGGGAGTGGCCTGAGTGGTTTGAGAGGTCAAAACTTGGTTTTTATGATGGTTTGGGATAGGCAGTACCCATTTTTATACTAAAACATGGGCCACCTACCCCGGAACATAAATCGCATACGGGGGTAAAGATTTTCAATCTTGATTTTACCTGGATTTCAGCTATTTTGGGATGGGCGTGGCCCCTGGGAGTGGCCTGAGTGGGTTGAGAGGTCGAAACTTGGTTTTTATGATGGTTTGGGATAGGCAGTACCCATTTTTATACTAAAACATGGGCCACCTACCCCGGAACATAAATCGCATACGGGGGTAAAGATTCTCAGTCTGGATTTGTATGGGATTTGACCTGGATTTCAGCTATTTTGGGATGGGCGTGGCCCCTGGGAGTGGCCTGAGTGGTTTGAGAGGTCGAAACTTGGTTTTTATGATGGTTTGGGATAGGCAGTACCCATTTTTATACTAAAACATGGGCCACCTACCCCGGAACATAAATCGCATACGGGGGTAAAGATTCTCAGTCTGGATTTGTATGGGATTTGACCTGGATTTCAGCTATTTTGGGATGGGCGTGGCCCCTGGGAGTGGCCTGAGTGGTTTGAGAGGTCGAAACTTGGTTTTTATGATGGTTTGGGATAGGCAGTACCCATTTTTATACTAAAACATGGGCCACCTACCCCGGAACATAAATCGCATACGGGGGTAAAGATTTTCAATCTTGATTTTACCTGGATTTCAGCTATTTTGGGATGGGCGTGGCCCCTGGGAGTGGCCTGAGTGGGTTGAGAGGTCGAAACTTGGTTTTTATGATGGTTTGGGATAGGCAGTACCCATTTTTATACTAAAACATGGGCCACCTACCCCGGAACATAAATCGCATACGGGGGTAAAGATTCTCAGTCTGGATTTGTATGGGATTTGACCTGGATTTCAGCTATTTTGGGATGGGCGTGGCCCCTGGGAGTGGCCTGAGTGGTTTGAGAGGTCGAAACTTGGTTTTTATGATGGTTTGGGATAGGCAGTACCCATTTTTATACTAAAACATGGGCCACCTACCCCGGAACATAAATCGCATACGGGGGTAAAGATTTTCAATCTTGATTTTACCTGGATTTCAGCTATTTTGGGATGGGCGTGGCCCCTGGGAGTGGCCTGAGTGGTTTGAGAGGTCGAAACTTGGTTTTTATGATGGTTTGGGATAGGCAGTACCCATTTTTATACTAAAACATGGGCCACCTACCCCGGAACATAAATCGCATACGGGGGTAAAGATTCTCAGTCTGGATTTGTATGGGATTTGACCTGGATTTCAGCTATTTTGGGATGGGCGTGGCCCCTGGGAGTGGCCTGAGTGGTTTGAGAGGTCGAAACTTGGTTTTTATGATGGTTTGGGATAGGCAGTACCCATTTTTATACTAAAACATGGGCCACCTACCCCGGAACATAAATCGCATACGGGGGTAAAGATTCTCAGTCTGGATTTGACCTGGATTTCAGCTATTTTGGGATGGGCGTGGCCCCTGGGAGTGGCCTGAGTGGTTTGAGAGGTCGAAACTTGGTTTTTATGATGGTTTGGGATAGGCAGTACCCATTTTTATACTAAAACATGGGCCACCTACCCCGGAACATAAATCGCATACGGGGGTAAAGATTCTCAGTCTGGATTTGTATGGGATTTGACCTGGATTTCAGCTATTTTGGGATGGGCGTGGCCCCTGGGAGTGGCCTGAGTGGTTTGAGAGGTCGAAACTTGGTTTTTATGATGGTTTGGGATAGGCAGTACCCATTTTTATACTAAAACATGGGCCACCTACCCCGGAACATAAATCGCATACGGGGGTAAAGATTTTCAATCTTGATTTTACCTGGATTTCAGCTATTTTGGGATGGGCGTGGCCCCTGGGAGTGGCCTGAGTGGGTTGAGAGGTCGAAACTTGGTTTTTATGATGGTTTGGGATAGGCAGTACCCATTTTTATACTAAAACATGGGCCACCTACCCCGGAACATAAATCGCATACGGGGGTAAAGATTTTCAATCTTGATTTTACCTGGATTTCAGCTATTTTGGGATGGGCGTGGCCCCTGGGAGTGGCCTGAGTGGGTTGGGAGGTCGAAACTTGATTTTTATGATGGTTTGGGACAGGTACTAACTATTTAAAACCCTAAACCTGTTCCAAATACCCCGGAACACAAATCGCATACAGGGGTGAAATCGCATACAAATCGCATACACAAATCAAGGAAACGTGCTCTCCCAGCACTGTGATAGATCGGAATGCCTGCATCTGTCCTACTCCTAGCTGTTCTCCGTGTGGGTAAACCATGATAACGATATTCAATATGATCATAACCAATTAGTGTGTCAATTTCAACCATTTTATGGTGCATGCAGCGTGTTTGAGAACACCACAGAAGAAAAATGATCCATAGGAATGACCGGGTAACAGTAAACATTAGGTGCGCCAATTATTGTGTCCACATTACAGTGATCAGTAGATTCCTGTCATCATAAAGTATGAACAACCACACGCACCAACGTTATAATGTAAAGAGATTAGAATTCATACCATGTTATTTTATCACATTACCTGTACTAAAGGGGTTATTGTCATGTGTTTTCGATTATCGTGCGATATCAGTGCGACATAACAATTATCGTGCGATGACAGTACGACATCACAATTATCGTGCGATAAAAAAACGATCCTGCGATAATCACGCGTTTATCGTCAAGTACCGCGATAATCGTGCACCACAAACGATAATCGTCTCGCATGCGATAAACGCGCGATAATCGTTGCAAGATTAAAATCTGCGAAATGGTCAATATTTTCCACCGTGGTATATACAAAAATATCAAAACGCGCGCATATTTTGCGTAGATTTATGGGAAATTTTATATCCGCGCGTTCCAGACAAGGCATTCCAAAAATCTCAAAATTGAGCTTACCATTTCAAACGTGCTTGGTTTTTTGTTTTCGATCTCTAACCAGAGGAATTTACCGTCATGTTTCATGGTAACGATATTCACCCACCTGCAAGAATAACATAAATTATTGGTATGCACAATATCGGGAAGTATCACGACCACTAAATATAACTCAACAATCAACTGCAACATGGACGATTCCTCTTAATAAGTTTATAAATATGAGTAACTTTCGAAGCATCAATCTCGGAAATAATGTATAAATAATTTTCACTCCGCAAAACTTACTTGAAAAGTATGAGGTTATCTAATTTGTTGTGCTTTATAAATACCCCGTTGTGGCCTGCACCAATATTGAACGTTGACCCTGACTTGTCCTGAAAATGAATTTCAAACTCAATAAAAAAGTAATTTTTCTTACCCCAAATATTCATAGCAAGGCAACTCCGATAGACTAAAATTATGTCCTGTTATTATATACGTAGGACCTTTGTTATAGCTGTATGAGAAAGCGAGTGCGACTCTAGCTAAAATATCGTCACAGTAATCATTTATTTTACTACTCGCGTTTACTAAATTGTAGTAGCAGGAGCCATTGTAGCTGCCAGAAATAGATACAAGTTACTCAACCTACGATTCTGTTGAGTTTTGACATTGACGTTATTATTCAAAACAATCTGCGCTTAGCTAGCTTTTGAATGAAGATTGAGGTCATTTGATCATTAAACTGTCAAAAAGATTCTTTATTTGATAGAATACATCCTTCATATCATACACTGTGTTACAGCATTGCAATAAACAGGGTGTCCCAAAAAAGCCCCCAAGTGACTTTTGATAGAAACTCGCCTCAAATTTGACTTTATGATTTGAAACTTCTCAAATCATATGGCATAATTCTCTAAAACCGGTTTTTTCAAAATTTCACGGCAAAATCCATCTGGAACCTGTTCATTTGGCCCATTAACTTTTGCCAGATTGGTACTGAGCCGCTGCTGATCACATTGTATTGTTGAAATCTAGTACAAGGTGTCGAGAATCTGAAACAATCATTCAGGAGCTGTGATCCACCCTGTCAACTAACAGTGTTAACAGCTGCAGGATCAGCTCGCTAATCACCTTATTAACTGATTAGGTGCCCGGTACTCAGCTGCATGCTGTCAGCAGCTTTGTTAAATGTTAAAGCCAATCAAGCACTCAATGAGCACATCAGCACATGACAATCGCAATAAATTGCTCATTACACGACTCCTGTGACCAAGCAAACGAGCTGGTGATACAAGATTGAAGATCAGCATCACATTATTTTCAATTTGGAACCAAGATCAAGGCGATAGCATACAAAATTACCGAGATATCAGATAATTTTTTAAAAGCGTCATGATGCTGCCAGACCCCACTCGAATGAACTTGAGGTCTAAAAAATGTTTTCTCCAACTCTGGAGGTCATACCCTACAGCCTCTCAAACGGCTCTTGAGTTATTAACACTGGGAGTTTTGTTTTTGGGACACCCTGTAGTCTGTAACCGACTAAACATGCCATTAACCTACAGGAGCAGATTTATCTCCGTCCACTATTAGTCTCTGAAAGTTTAAGGTTTGACAAAAAGTTTGACAAAATATATTTAAAAAATATATACCATTCACCACCACATAAGGTATTAATTATTAAATTACCGAAAAATAAGGTATTATTTTTCGGTGAAATGAACCAGTTCACCGCTCATAGTTTAAAATAAAAATCCCGTTAAATTAAAGTTTCCATAACACCTGAATTTAGTTTCCATTACATAACACCACCTTGCAACACTCTTGACTCCTGATCACACAAACTCACAAATAAATTGTATTGCATTTCATTTCATCTCATTAACTAGATTAAGAAAATTCCTTGGAACATCTAGAATCGCAATTCGCATTACATTTCTGAACATTCCGCATTACGTAGGAAGTACTCTTAAAATCTAACTTCACACGTTACACAACATTTTCCGAATAATTAGGTATTTTCGAATATAATTGTAGGCTTGAATTTCAAATAAATGTCAGAAATACTGTCGACAGATAAAGGTCCATGCCCTCTTGAAAAAGCCAGATCTTAGTGCCAGCTGGTGCACAGAAAATAGTGCATATTGCAAATAGGACAAATTCTAACATCCAATAATGATAAATTAACTAATTAGATAATTAGTTGGTAAAATATTATTCAAAGACATACCTTGGTGGGATAGTAATCTACTCCGCAGTCGTGGAGACCCTGTGATCTATCCAGAAACTCTACTTGAGACTCAACTGATCGCATTCCTCTGAAACAAAAACAATCATAGAATATTAAGTTAAATTGTAACTGGACACTAGCAATAAACGAAAGTCAAAATATTCGTTAAATTATTGTTTTACTTCAGATGGATCGTGCTCGGACATTTCGCGGAATATCGGTCTCGATATAATGGATTGCACCAGCAGATGATTTTACAAACACTCACCATTCGCAAAATAAGGAAGTAAAAATGTGTCTTATACCAACTAATTACGTTAAAGGCCTCAGAGTTTGGTATGTGCTACCAAAGTAATAAATAAGTTCATTTAACAAACTTACGATAACTTTTCATACTCCATGACTATATTATCAATCATAGTGCTGTTGTTCTTCGAATATCTCTGCAGAGAAAATAGAGCATTAGTTAAAATGTCAGTACCAATGAAATGAACTTGTCTTTAAAAAAATCCTTTACGAAGGACCTGAAAATAAAACACAAGGAGGCCTCATACAAAAGGGAGATCTCATACAAAACATGGCCTAGATCTTTATAATGCTCTTACGCTTGGTATGCAGTCTGCTTGTCTGATAAAGTCAGCATCATGTACCATTGGGTCATAGTTACCTCCATCAGCTGCAAATAAGGAGTTTAATAAATTGTTATGGAAAAGTATTGAGAAAATGGAAGATTTTCAGACCAGATATAAAAAAACCTTGTCACGTATTATTGGGTACCTTGTAGAATGAGCGCTGAGAGGGACACCGCGGTTGTGGGATCAGTCATTAGGTTACCCTTGATAACATCATCACGAATATGGGTGAAATACGAGTAGCTGCGGAATGTAAAACACACATTTAGTAAACCGTGATATTGTTTTTAGAACGTTCATTTTCGGTTAGATCTAGATGTCTATGTTTTAGTTACTACGTATGTGCACTGACTTTTGGCACCCCCTGTATAAGACATGCCTATTATTATATCTGTTTGATTATACGAACCCATAATGTACTGACAATGCGAGGGAAACTTTTAAACTTTATCACAGTACTTACATTTATATCCGATACCTAACAATTTTCTAGTCCTAAGCAATGTAACATACCAAAGGAATTAAGATACAATATATGTAAGGAAGAAAAATGTGAACAGTAGGAATAATTAAATCATTTAGAAAATAAGATTTCTCACATTCTAATAATGTTTGAGTATTTGGGAATTGGGCGTCCACATTTCACGATAGGAGGGGATATATGACGCTATAACAATGACTACATATAAAACGTCATCAGCCTCTTCGGAGTCTTAAGCATATAAATTAAACAAAAGAATAACCAACTAAATTATCGTTTCAATATCATAATATTCTGCAGATTATGGAGAATATTTTGTGTAATTTCGTTAACATGACCTTAAATTAGTTTAGATCAAAGGAAAACTGGTTAAAAGGTATATTTATCAGTGCGTAGTATCAGATATAACTGATCGCTGAACCTACACAGAATAATGTAAAATATGTAATACTTACATGATATTATCATCTGATATCCTGGTCAGATCCGGAGGGAAGAATCTGATCTTGAAATCCAAAACTTTAACCACTTCTATCCACTTTTTGCCACACACCTGCCTGATTGTTTCCTCGTTTTCCATCCAGAAATTGCTTCCATCTCGTTTAAGTCTCACTCCGAAATATGCTGGCTGAAATACCAGAAGTCAGGATACAGTGATGTCATAATGATAAGCTGATAAATGAAATAGCACGTAAGCAGCATCATAGAATATTGCGAAATATGGAGGGTGCACGATAGCTTCAGTATTCATTTCACATTTCAACAGGTGTGACTATCACAATAAATGTTACTATCAGAGTACCAGAATGCTCGGAGAGAGAGAGAGAGATCTCGTGACGTCATTTTGCATTATATATGCAGCTATAGTGACGTTAACTATTAATTGGGAGCTCCCCTCATCGAAGAGAAGAAGGTTCGCTCAACAGCTGTCTTATTGTCGCGGAGTAGGGATGGAACCTAATTATTCAGGTGGGTGATATACAATGTGACACACAAGGGCTAAGTAGAAGCTCCGTGTATCAGAACACACACTCTCTCTCCCCCCGAACAACTTAAACTTGGATACTTTCCAAAGAATCTCCGCTCAGCACTGCTTGAGCTTTGGACGTTAAACACTGGCATTTATTTGAACACTGTTAACCCTGGCACTTGTTTCCCGGTTAAAACCCTAAAAGTTTCAGTAAGTGTAAAACAGTAGCTCAAATCTAGATGGTAATTACGAACTGTATAATATATCGTGCTATTTTAAACATGATTTAACATCTTCTCACAGGATACAGGATACTATTAGGATACTATCAAGCTAAATATATCCCTCATATATCAGAATATCAGACGTTATAGCACGCTGCAGACAAGTGACCTGTTAACATCATGACTTTTTTCAGCACAGTTTACGTGTTCCTCACACCAAGCCTGTCACGAATCACGCCTTAAAACACTTACTTCATCCGGTGAAAACATCCTATATTTGGATTTTGGAGAGATATAATGTGAATATTTTTAGGATATTACTGCGCTAATTTTGTGGACAAATTGTATGTGTCGACAAACCATGTGCATTTATATTATATATAATATGTAATATATAAAATGTAAATATATAGATACCGGGATATACCGTTAGAAATTCTCCTAATTCCACGTCCGTACGAGACTAGCATAACTTTGAACTGCTTTTGTTAAACATTGCCGTCACTGAAGTAACATCGGTAACATCGGTATCTCATTAGTACCTGACATATTGTGATATCTGGGCGTCTCGCTATTCATAGAATCTAGAATATTTTATGTTCACATTGTAAATGCCATTCAAAATATAAATCTAAGAACTACAGACAGGATATTGGGTGTCCGGCCGTGTTTCGTGGGATCTGGGTAAACATATCTGGAATTTCTGGATTTTAAGATGAGTAGTTAAAATACATGATTTTACAGGTTGGAGAAAGCGAGATGTATGCCGATCTCTGAGAAGGTTAAATGCCAACAGCCTGCTGAGCAAACTCATCAAATTCTTTGCATAGAATGATACATAACTCGACCATTTGAACAAAGTACAAGCAAATATGGTGTCTCCAGTTTCCGGTGAAGAAAAGCTTTTTATGGCCCAATAACCCATTACTTGCCTTCAGGCTGGGTATGCTTGCTTTAAATGAACTCTATTTTGGTCCTGAGTTTGGCAAGGAGTCTTTAATGCAGTGCATGGTATAATCGCTCAGTTAAAAGCAATGTGTGGAGACGTGAGAGCTTATTTTGTGAAATGTAGATTTTAAGATTTTAGAATTATAATTCGTATTTTCTGAACCTATCTGTATTTTCAGGAACCAGTAAGAAGCTTTGCTTCTTCTCATAAACAAGCCGCATATCAGAACTAAGGAGGCAAGCAAGGTTTTCCTAATGGTATGGCATTATGACCTCCAATCACGTGTTTTGGTGCCGTACGGGGGCCTGTACGTGCTTTTAGTCACTATACAATAAACATATTATTATCTATTCATACCTATTACCTTCCTGCGCCCTATTTTGTATAATAATATAATATACCCACATTGTTTCAGCTACTATTCAAACCTAAATTAGGTCAAGACCGGAAGGAAGAATCAGATTTTTGTAAAATACTTTGATAAACCAATGAAGCTCACTTCTCAGTAACCAAATATTAGGATTATATCCTATTATATTGACGACCCTGTTTTATTAACTAACACTTAATGTGACGCATTATTATTGTACCCTTGTTGTGTGAACATCTCTTGTTTACTTGGCCTACACTATACACATAACGTTAAACAAGTTACAAGCCATATTCAACAAGCTCAAGATATACATGATACAGTGTGCAGTGTAAAATGTAATGTAGTCTTGTTTATTAACACTCACTGGAACACCTGTTACAATCATTATTGTCTTCTCTTCAAAAATAGGTTCGGTGGTAATTTTGGGGGTAGGATAAATGGCCTATTTTAATTATACTGCAAGTGATGATGTTTAATTTTCTGGCATACAGCCAGTAGCCATGCAATGACGTTGATTTATTACGTCAGCATCCATGTTAAACAAAGTTAATGTTAAACTTAGAAGTTTGTTCCCAAAATGGGAGGAGGGGTCAGGTAAATAGTGGCGTACTAGAGGAATTGCTGAATACCGACACAAAGGGGGTGGATCTGGTGGGAGTTCAACATAGAAAACACGATCCTGTAATAATATGTGAACTATTGCCCATAAGGCATGATTGCAGATTGCGGAATGCTAGGTCCTCACAACTCCGCTATTCTAACAGAAGTCCAGTATCAACTAGCAAATAATCTACAACGCAATACATATGATAATAACGTTATAATATAAACATCAAACATACATGTATGTATGTATGTAATTAAAGAATAGCCACTAGCCAGGTTGTTACTCACAAGAACAAGAACTGTTGTAGAACGAGTGAATAATAATGAAACTTTGACGGCTTTTATGAGCAAGCAGTACCAATGATGCGTTTCAAGAAAACAGTTTTTTCACTCTGTCACAAGCAAAGATGATGTTTCTTTTATTATCGAAGAGTTATATTACAGTGCTATATAATGTAGATAAGTGTTTGACTCTTTCCACATGATGGATTGATGGACTTGTGCTTGAACTTCTGGCTCCTGCCTTAAGTATTAATTTATTGTTTGTGTTTACGCACAGTTGCTACTAAAGACCATCTCCTGAGGTTGTATCATCACCTTCTATTAGTTTAATGTCCTGAAGACTACGGACAAAGCCCTCTGTCATGTGATTTCTAACTCAATGTGGGAAGGAGGATCGTTGGGCGCCCGCTAAACGACGTTTAGCTCTGCCTATGCCGGTCGTGACTCCATTGCATTTGTAACACCAAAATGGAGGTAAGCCCGGGACCACAGTGCTAGTACATTACTGAAGAAGAAAAAAGAACCGAGATTACTGTGTCTCTTCGAGTTCCTACACTAGTATAGTCAAAGACTCTCTACTAAATGATGGACAGCTCTGAACTACACATTTGTCTACTCAATATCATAAATGATAAATGAAACCTAAAGTTGGTGACATCACAGAGAACTTGTAACATAGTGGCTACCATGAAACTTCCTCAGCTAAGATTGCCAGACATTCTCGATCTTAATCTTGGTTTTAAAAACTTGCTATCGGATGAGGCAAATGCAAAGATGGCAGAATTGGAAATATGATATCACTAAATATGGCTAATTTGATATTACTTTGGTTATTTGTATGTACACTCTAGAACATTTCAAATGCAAATAACATGAGCGGTTGGAGATTATTATCATGAATATCACATACGGACTACATATTTTATACAGCAGGTTTTGATTAATGTTCAAAACGAGTCCGGTTCTAGCGATAGTGATAGCAAATTTTCATCCATTCTTTGTTCAATTAATCGTATAGCTTATGTCTTATGTAACGCAAGTATTGTGCAATGCACGTCTATCATCACTCATTTATTACCTTTGAAACACCCTTTATGTGGTTATTTTTCTTTCACCAGACACCCTTATAAAAGTTAAATGCGATTATTACAAAATGAAATCGTCACATAAAACCTCCTCGTATCAAATACATACACATCCAGTATGACTTCCTGTTTAAACAGATATCATATCTTTTTTAAATCACTGATATCAACTACAGTATGCTTATAACAAGCATTTAATTAATTCGTGGATGATTTATGATAAGCATTATATTATATATGAGTTGAGTACTAAATGAACTATTAAGAGATTATTACATGTATGATACTCAGCTCCTTACGTCACTACATGTATCAGAGGACTATGTGTACTTTAGTGGTGAGCCCGTATAATGCCCTGCTTCCGGGTAGGGTACATGATAGTACAATGTCCTTACCATCTGCTCCTTTAGAATAACTTCTTACTTACAATGTCCTTACCATCTGCTCTTTAGAACAAACCCTAGTTCAACACTGTACGTGTTGTGAAACAGACACTATAATCTCGTATAATAGCAACAGTTGTAATGACACTGTTACAATAGCAACTGTTATAATGAAACTTACGCACACTGCCCCTTAAATCTTTTAAACAATGAATTCCAGACAAACAAGCTGAAGATTAAAAAGCAAAGAGAGCTTTGGCTTTTATTAAATTGTTACAATAATTAGAACAGAATAATCACAACGACGTACCTCTGGTAGTTTAAAGATATCACAGACATCCGAAATAATCTCCAGTCCTTTTGTATCCCCAGTTACCATAATCTCACATTTGTTGCGATATGTTGTGACTGTCACTCGACCTTTAAACACGAGGCGATTTAGAGAAACTGCTTTAATGTGTAACATTGTACCCTTCCAATAGCAGTATTAATGTAAATAGAAGGGTCCCAAATATTTCAACAGTACAGTTGCCTCCATGCTTAAGGTAATAAATCTAATAAATCTAAGCTTTTTAATTTCACACAGGTTTTCCAGGAAATATTTTCAATTATCAAACTAAAATTCACTTACTAGATGGGCCCCTGTCAGCAGGGCCTCTGACACTCCTTTGCGGCATCATTGCAGAAAGTTCCAATCTACATGTTCCTAGGAAAAACAATAGGTTATGATTATCAATTCAGTCATGAAATTTATCACAAACAGTGCCCACTCTACTGTTGGTGGACCAGGGGGTGGGGGTTGTTTTCTCAAGAGATAAATTAAGCTGTGAGATTTAGAAGTTGACCCCAAGTTCAGATCCTTCACAGTACCTAGGGGGAAGGGGGGGTCCAAGGGGAACTTTGGGGAACTTTTTTTGGGGAACTTCAGGAAACCTGGGGGACTTTCCCAAAGTTCCCCAAAATTCCCCAAAAGTTCCCCAAAAAAATTATCAGATTCTACCAATGAATGTAGGTATTGTTTTTTGTTCTTTTCGTTTATTTTATATATTTACATATCTATACGTGCTCTGCATAGCATTCTTACAAAATTGAGCAGTAAACATAACTATATTTGAATTGCACCGAGCAATGATAAATGATGATACAGGAGTTGAACCAAATGTAATGCAAAAAATCAGATAATAAGGCATAACTTACAGCTCTATTGAGTCATGCTGCAAGTATCAACAAGTAAGTTAAGATTATACCTTAAATAATAACATACTGTATGTTAAAATTAATGGGTATTAATGTATATTTTGGGTATTAATGTAAATTTTGAATAATTTTGGGGAACTTTGGGGAACTTTGGGGAGTTTTGGGGAACTTTTTTGGGGAACTTCAGAAATCTTGGGGGACTTTCCCAAAGTTCCCCAAAGTTCCCCTTGGACCCCCCCTACCTATAATATCAAATGTTGGAGTAGTTTGCTTTTTATTAGTCTCATGATGAAATATTGATAATATCCGGTTGAAAGAGAGAACGACAAATGAAACAGGAAGTTAGGAATGTGGGCAAATTTTCGGCATCAACGCCATCTTCAGGCTCGAATTATTTGTTATATATAGTAGTATTGAAAGTATTAAACCACTACCATGTAATACTTTCAACACTACTTATACTATATAACAAATAATTTGAGCCTGAAGATGGCATTGACACCAAAAATTTGCCCACATTCCTAACTTCCTGTTTCATTTGTTCTTGTCTCTTTCAACCTGATATTATCCAACTATCAGTAACTATAATAGTTACTCCAATTCGAAGGAAGCAATTATTGATGTTTCCTCCTAATTGGAGTCCCTCAAGGTTCAATTTTAGGTCCAATTCTGTTTATAATTTACACAAAGGAGCTTAATCATATCGCAAAAAGCCATGGTTTTAATATGTGCGCAGACAACACCCAACTTTACATTGAGTTTAATCCACTATTTCGAGATCTGTCAACAATCCAAGAAAGAATAACACATTGTTTTCAAGATATTAAGAGCTGAATGACCCAAAAGAAACTCAAACTAGACCAAAGCAAAACAGAAGGCATCCCACTTTTTTCCCACAAGTTTAGTTATGTCCTCTTTGATCAATTCTTTACATTGGAAGATCAAGTCAATTCAATCATCAGTTGCATTGTTGCAACATCCATTTGACGAACCTTAGAGTTGTGGGCTCAAAGCTTAACCATGACCTAAAAAGCCCGCTCATTCACTGTTTGATCCTTGCAATGGACTTACCTGATTTTCTCAAAGACACTCCAGAAGGTACAAAATTCCTGTGTTAATTCAAATCAAATCAAAACATAATGATACATAAGATCATTACAAATATTCATAAAAATATCATAGGAAAACAAATTTTAGGGAAACAAATTTAAATTTTGGTATTTATTAATAACAATCAAAACATATCATATCATAAAAATAAGGCCGCGCGTTGGTTGACTGCCTCAGTAAGGTGAATAATATAAGCTTGAAGGTGCCCTGCGCATTTACAGAACCTCATGCGGCGATCACATGATCATGAGGACCTGTGAGCGCCAAATTTAATTTAAAGTTTCTAGAAATCATACATCACTACGAGTTACTCATGCTTTTTTAATTTTTATAGGAGTGTAGATTGTCTAGATTGTCAGGTATTTCATTCATTCATACTTAGTCGGTTTAAAGCTGTATATTTAGAACTCACTATTGTTTAAACTATGAAAGCAGAACGTAGGTAATGGACAATATACCGACGACAATACCAAGGACCCGAGTGCCACAATGACTTTTCCGGATCCGTTTTTACCGAGGGCTTATCCACCAGTTACACATGCTGCATGTATAGTCTGATAATATTTATTTGTTTTATTCTATAGCAGGCATTCTGTAAATTGGAGTGTCGTATTTATTATAAAAGAGCCAGCCAACCTCCGCATTATAATCTTTTGTGTGCCAAGTTCGTTTATAAAATCTAATCATATAATAAAATTGATCCAATAATATAAGATGAACGGTATATATCAGCTCATCGTTATTAAAATCCGAATGGATGAATTAATCAAGTTATGTTCCCTTTCAACACAACTAAACAACAAACAAATGCTTGCTCACCAGTGGTGACGCAATCGTAGGGGCATGCAGTTATTTCGGATAACTCTCACCCCGACGACAGCGTCGAAAAATAATCAAATTATGCATTTGCGCCATACTGGACACATTTTATATTTAATATTCTACAGTTTGTAGAAATTAGTGTTATCTACAGTATAGCTTAACTGGCGAGCAAGCATCGTCCCACTCGGCCGGGACGAAAATACCGAGTCCAATCACAGAAAGTTGACCATAAACTAAAGATAAATATAAGAGCTCGGACATCGACAAAAATCACACACTCCAGACGACGGGGGAATAATTTAAATTTTAAATTATACCCAAGCGACCTAGTTCAGGTTAATAAACTTCTTCTTTGCTACATAGGGATGAAACCACAGATAATCATTATGTTTTAAACTTTTATTCTCCAGATTATTATCTCCTTCACCCCAAAAAGTGGGATTGCTCTTTCTTTAAACTGAATTACCGAAGTTCAGAAAGGAAGGTACATGATGAAAATGCAGTCTCAATAACATTACCTTTGAGATAATAATTTAGTTTTCTCACTTTCAGTCACTGGGCAGATCATAGAATCAAAGCACATCTGTCCCATGACCCATCCCATCATACCACTGGGCTTTCGTGACCTCTAATTCTGAACTTTTTTATCGTGATATCAGACTAATCCTTGCATGGGTTAACTGCTTTAGTTATTGTACAAGGTCTGCATGTGCATTCACGGTGTCGACTATATAAAATGGGGACCTTCGAGCATGGAACTTATTTCCAGATTTAGCCTCAAATTGTTATAAGTAATAATCAGCACCTGAAGCTACCTGAAAGAAGTCTGCACAGGTCCAGCTAGATTACTTGCAACTCTGCCAGTCAATATTTAGCAGTTACCAAATCTACCCGTGGGTGAAGTATGTAATGGCGTTGATGTCCTACTATACATCAAAGGACGTTTATAAACACGTGTGCTGTGAAACAGAAACTCAGAACCTACAGAAATTAATTAAAGTCAAATCCAATGGACCACATTTCCTTTAAAAAAAAAAAAAAAATAAATATTGATTAGCCAAACGAATGGTATGTTTTTTTCTTTTTCAAGCTTGATCTGGAAACCTCAAAACTTTTCGAGAGAAGTTAATTCCTTTTTGAAATAATATTTGGGCCTGAAACAAAGTGCTGCGAAGTAGCTTGACTTGTAGCGCGATGCACTACTGGGTCGCGCGCGCATCAAATATGCTTCTCGCAACCACAGTAGTGGTAATTCCAACATTCGAACTGCCAAAAAAGTGGCAGTTCAACTCGTTAGATCGCGTATTAATTTTACTTCAATTTAGAGTCGAGCGCTACGTTCTAGCCTTATATGTAGATCGTTTCAGAACGAAAACTTCATTTCCTCAATTTGTCCGTTGATTACGTTGGTATTTGTATTGTGAATCGTGCATCTGAATTCTGTTTATTTATCTTCAATTTAATTAAATAGTTGCTTTCCGTAACTGGTACCAGTACACTAGTACGTTTTTCTTTATGTTATTCTTACACAAGAAAGAGTTTAAACTTCAATACTAAGTTTCATGGTAATATAGGTGGAATGACCAGTGATGACGTCAGGCACATCAGCAGAAGCAGGGAGACACAGATTACCCCTGCTGCAGCATCTAACCCTCTACTCATCGTCCCTAAGTTGATCCCTCTCTCACTCATTCTAGCCCTTGCAACATTCAATGTTCGTGGGCTGAGCAAAGAAGTAGACCAACATATATTAGGACGTGACTGTACTCAATATAAATTAGACGTTATAGCCCTTCAAGAAACTAAAATCACTCAGCCATCTGAAGCAATGTTACCCTGTGGCAATAAGTTGATTATCATTGAACAAAAGGATGCCTGTTATGCAGGACTGGGGTTTGTGGTATCAAAGCGGCTAGTACCGTACATTGTTCAATATCATCGTGTTAGTGACCGTGTTGCGTGGATAGATTTCAGATTGCCTGTAAAGCACGGTGAACCCGTCATGTTTAGAGCCGTCAATGTGTACTGCCCAACCAACACCAAATCAGAACTCAGACCAGAAATTGTCAGGAAATTGTACAAGCAAGTCAGTTCAGCTATTGTCGTTCCTTCAAGACACGAGTTGTTTGTGATGGGAGATTTCAACGGTAGGCTGGGTAAGCTTGATGACTCAGACTATGTAAATGGTGTGTCAGATTATGTCGGCAGGCACGGTATGGGTAAAAGGAATCACAACGGTCACTACCTTCTCAACTTCATGTGTAGAAACGACTTGTTTGCTGCTAATACTGCCTTCCTTCACCGTGCGAGTCATCGGACCACTTACGAGGGTTTGGTTAATGTCAAAGGTCAGTCTGGTAAAAAGCATAAAGTGTTTACTCAGATAGATTATATTCTTTGTAAAAGAAGAAGTAAATGTCTGCTCAGAGATGCTAGGTCGCACAACGGTATGGTGTTTAGTTCTGACCATAGGCTTGTAATATGTACGATTGAATTGTCTAAACGCCCCCTGTTCTACGCTAAAGCTCCTAAACGTCCTAAAATGTTTGACACTCGCAGGCTCACATCAGACC